GCTTCCTTTAGATATAAGAAGCCCTGAACACCCACTCGGAGATGGTCTCTTCTCTGGGGAACCCCAAAATGAGTCTTAATACATAACAGGGCATCATTCATTCTACAAATCTTTACTGAATGTCACTGTGTGACACCACATAGGGAAGTCATTTGTGGCTATCCATAAGGGAGTTGTTGGTGGTTAAGATTTAAAGCTGAGGCTACAAAAGATAATGATAATTTGATCCAGGCAGGGCCAGAGTAGGGCAAGATAAGTGAGGCACTTGCCTTGTGGGCAAAATTCCAGAGAATGCCAACAAACTAGTAATATGTTAATCCATATTTTTTAAAATAAAAATTAATGTAAAAATATTCATGATGAACGAAATATCAAAATTTTCACTCACAGGATTCCAGCCTGAACTTGGAGCATGCCTCACCTGCCCCACCCCAGTCCCAGCTGAGCAAAACTGCTACAACAAGTGAGGACAGAGAGCAAAATAACAGATTAAATGGATAGGGATGGTGACCAATGTTCTAGAGAAATAAAGACAGAGGAGGGGGTAATTCCAAAATCAACATCTCAGAACCCTTTCCCCACACCAGATATTAGAGCACATGGTATAGCAGAAAGAACACAGACTTTGGGGTCCACCTAGGGACAGATCTAGCCCCCTAGCCACTTGCACTGTGCCGTAGGGAAAGACACCCACTCTCCTGGCTTCATGCTTTATAATAAAGTTTATAATAAAGAATGATACAACATAGGGTATATAAATATGAACAAAGGAGTCAATAACACTGTGAGCAATCGCTCTGCATGGAACCCTGTGCTAAGCTGACAAGGTCAGTATTTCTACCACATGGAAAGCTAAGACTTTAAACAGATATCCCACTGTAAATAGGGAGAACGAGGCTTTGAGGTTCTTCAGTCCGAGTTCCCGCCATAATGCTCTACACTCACCTGAAGCCAGGTTCTTCCCCTAAATGATACTGAGCAAGTCTCTGGACCATTCTGAGCCCTGTTGTCCTCATCTGCAAAATGGGGACAATAAGGTGGCTCTCCATCCCCGCCCCACAGGACCATTAGGAGACAGGTGCGCAGCACACAGGTGCCCAGAAATACCAGCTGCCTGTAGACACGCACACCTCCTCCCCCGCTCTGAGTGGCAGCAGCGGTCCCAGTGCGACAGGGGCAGAATCAGCTGGTGAAGTTCAAACGCAGCCCATTTCCTATTTTCCTGACAGCCTATTTCATGGATCACGGAGACCCAAGTACAGCTGCTTATTCAACAGAGGAAAGAATGAATTCATTTTCATTCCTTAATACCCAATGTGACCTACTCTGTGTCGATCCCTCCCTTCTGAGGCCGCTGCCCTGCCAGCGGACTTTCAAATTGGCCAGAGAGAGAAAATGTGCAGTAATGACAGACTGTCCTGCCCGGAGAATGCTGGGAGCTGAATTGCCACCGTCTTGGTAATAAGTCCAAATGAAAGATATTATGTCACCTCATTTGAATTAAACAGATGAACTATAGTCCTAGACCATTAAAACTGAACCAATTTACTGGATGGTTTCCAAGTGCTTGGTGCCAAGCGCCCCCCAAAGGTGCTAGGCTCCAGTGGGGTTTTATGTTCTCATTTTCTGCCAATAATTCCCCCCTCTGTGAACGTGCAGGGATAATTTGATGAAAAGGCTGCCCACACGCCAACCATGACTTGGGGCCATTGCAGGCCTGGCTGTCTACAGTGGGAGCTGTACTATCTGAGAAGCCCAGAGTGGCCGAGAGCCAGCAGCCAGGTGGGTCTGGGTCCTGTGTGGCTATCACCTGCCCCTTGGCAGTATTTTCCCCTCCAGAAGTTCAGGGGAGCCCCACACCCCCAAAAGCCCCCAGAGAAGGCTGCTGTTGACTGTTGCCTACTTTTACAAACATGGAAACTGAGACTCCAAAGTCCAGGGTGCATAGGGTCAGACTTCTGGGTCCAGAGTGCCCTGTGGGAAGGACATGAGGCCCCCTAGGTCCTCCTAACATTCCACTCCCGGTGTGCCATCTCTCTGGGCATCCAGTTCCTACACAATTTCACCCCACCTTCTCATGACACAAACGGCCTATCCTTCATTTTCAGACCTATAGTTCAGAGCTACACCCTCAGAGTTAGATGGTACTGGGAGCCACTAAACCCTATGTGAATCCCAGCACTGCCACTTACAAGCCAAGCAGCTTTAGGGGATCTCTTTTCTCTCCCTGAGCCTCAATTTCCTCACCTGTAACTCAGGACTTACTAGGCAAAGGCTGTTTTCCCAAGGTCCTACTGCCACTAACACCCCACCCACCACCAGAATCCCACTTACAACTCTTTCTCCTTTACTCCACCCCCAAAATGAACAAATCCAGTTTCCCTTACATTGATGATAACAGTGCTTAATAGCAAAACACAATATTAATTAAGCCTACTGAACATTCCATGGGTAACTCTGTAAATGTCAGTGTCAAAGCACCTCACTCTAGGGATTTACATTTATTCACTCAGCAAAACTATATGGAACATCACAGCCTCTTCTAAACACTCAGGACCCAGCAGCAGCAAAACACACATGCCTTGAACCCAAGGATATCAACAGCTAATGTTTACTAGCCCCATTTTACAAAGGAGGAAACAAAGGCTCAGAGGGTTTGGATAACTTGTCCAGGCAGCATAGCTAGTAGAGAGCAGAGCCTAGATCGGACCTCAAGAGTCTGTACTACGGAGCCCATGACAAAGATGGTGGGGGACAGAGACCCCAAGATCCCACCCTCACTCACCTCAGGATCCACCACCAAGGACCAGAGAGTAGTTTAAAGCCCAAGGGGCGGGACACTAGGGCATCTGGGAATGGAATTTTTGTCCTTCGTTCTACCTGGACTGTTCTCAAACATTTACGTGTGGGCCTGACAGAAGAATTTGATGTGCTGTGGTCATTTTGAGAACCTATGACTTCACTCACTAGGATGACCAACTCACTCTGGTTTACTCAGAACTGTCTGGCTTTAAAACTGAAAGTTCCACGTACAGCGATACCCCCACTCCCACCCCCGGGGCCACATGCTAAGTTGAGACATTAACTCTCTCCTAAGGGGTTACTGCACTGCTGTTCTGCGCTCAGTGCCCTCTGCTGGCCAGAAAGGATGCCCTCCCTGGCAAGAGCAGTGGGCTCCCTCTGGGCCTCTGGTGAGATTCATCCTGGTCAGTACTTGTGCCCCTGCCTGAAATGGACAAGGCTAACACTACCCTGCACCCAGCTCTGGTAGTTCTACCCTCTCTGGGCCCTGCAGTTGCAAGCCCCCTAGAGTGTGAGTCCCAGCGTTCTCTAATTAGCCCCTGCTGTTCTGGGTTCACAAATTTTGCATCTAAATCATTGCCCTGTCATCTAGTAGTTTTCTGCAGGGGGGGGGGCGGGGGGGGCCTCTTAGTGTTTATTGAGTGCTTATTGCACTCCAAGTCTGACTGCATGTAACCCTCACTATGACCTAGAGGAACAATCACTGCCCACTTTTACAGATGAGGCACCCCTAGGAGACCACAGTGATGCCCCACCATGTCCTCTGGGCTTTCTGGGGCCAGCCCCAGATACAGATGAGACCTGACGTGCTAGTACAGCAAAGGGAAGCTGAGTGGTCCAGGCAATGGGAGAGGAATTCCTAAAATGAAGATCACAGTGAAAATCAGTAATGACTGTGGAGGGTCTGAGTGGCATTCCCTCTGAGGTGTGTCTTCCTCCTCCCCACACCCTGCTTCCCACACAGAGAGAGCCAGCCCTCTCTAAACTCATCAGTGTCACACTAAGCACCAGGGCCATCCAAACACTAAGGCATGAGTCGCATTGAATCTTGATATTCCTTGATCTTTGGGGGATTATGAATACCCTTGAGAATTTGGCGAAAGCTCTATTTCCTTCCTTAGGGGAAAGAAATCTTGTATATAGTTCTTCACGAATTTTGCACACAATTTCAATGAGTTCTATAAACCCACCCACGAACTCTTCAGAGGTCAATGAAATCTTAATTCAGTCCATCACTCAAATGCCTATTAAGTGTCTGCTAATAAATAGCATGCTGGGTGTTTCCACCTGCAGTATCCTTCATCAGGGCTGCACATCACAGTCACCTATGCAAATGCACAGCTGTGCTCCTATAACAAGTCTCAACAGTAGCTGCACATTGGAATCTCCTGGAGAGTGTTTTAAAATTCCGTTGTCAAAGACGCAGGCATCCCCAGGTGATTCCAATGAGCATCCAAACATTCTGAAAAGTTCCCCAGTGGTTGTGATGCCCACTACAGGGTGGCTTATTCATTCATTCATTCAATTAACTCTAGTGAGTATCTATTAAAGGTCAGCTGCTGTGAGGGGCATCACGGACAGAGCAGAAGATAAGTAATCACAGTCTCTGTCCTCACCAAGCTTATAGTCTGGCTAAGGCAACTAGCAATAAATAACCAATACATAATTCATTAATGTCACAAGAGACATCAATTAGGAGGTGGCATAAAGAATACTAGAGGGATCTCCCTGGGGAAGGTTAGGGGATGCTCCCTGAGAAAGGGACACTTAAGCTGCAGCTTGAAGCTGAGGAAGGATGAGGGGGCCACAGAAAACACCCAGGTGGAGCAGCCATCAAAGACCGTATGGCAGGGAGAGGTCAGCCTGAGAGTGGCCAGCCTGACTCTGCGTCCAGGGGAGGAAGGGGCCAGGTACAGTGCGCATTGGGGCTGGGAGGCCAGACCAGGCGGGGTCTTGAGATCTGGCTGGGAATTGAGGTTAAACTCCTGACGGTAGTCTCCTCTCTCATCCTCACAACCACCTCAGCAAGGAAGCACCTGGGATGAAGAAATAGTTCGATGGGGCTCGGTGTGGGTGCACACCCAGGTCTCTGGACCTGGGGGCTGGAAAATCACAGGCCACAGGCCCCTCAGAAAGACTCCTAAAAAGGTGTTCTCACACCCTCTGTCCATGACCCACCTGTCCAGGCCAGGCCACCTATGTGACCAGTGCTGGGACAGCATTGTTCTCCCTCCCTCCCGTGCGCCCGCCTCACAGACCCCATCACCATGGGAACTGAGCCAGCCAATCAGAACATCCAGTTTTCAAAGGGCAGCCTTATAAATTGAGTCACCCCTCCCCAGAGAGGCCACAAGCAACATTCAGAGGCCTCCCAGGGCCCCCTCTCCCTGGATAAACCAATTCAGCTGCCCCCCATTTTCCTGAAAGGGGAGTCACCTGCCTGCAAAGCTCAGAGACAAGTGCCAAGCCTACAGTCACCCAGCTCAGCACTCCACACCCACACGCAGCCACACCATGCAGAAGCAACTCAGGACTCCCTAAAAGTTTCTGGTAGTAACATAGGAAACACCTGGAGCAGCGAGAGCCATGCATCGGGAACACAGCACCCCAGCCTGGACGAAGGCAGTGACACCAGCCTACTGAGCAGTGGGTACTCAGGGGACAAGGAGAACAGTGAGGTCAGCTTGGTGCACAGTCATCGAATCGTGCGGTTGAATAAGAGGCTCCACCCCCAGGTGCTCAGCACACAGTCCAGCCAGCTGTCCTCCACAAGCTCCCCCAGCCACACAAAGAGCCAGCCCCACACCCCCAGGCAGACTGGAAGAAAAAAGTGAGCCCAGTCTGCCAGATGTGGGCAGCAGCAGCAGCTCTAGCCTCAGCTTCATCAGCCTGGGCAGCAGCGCTCTGACCTTCCAGGTGAGCAGCGGGCTGCTCACTCCTGTTGGCAGCCTATCCTCCACCCTCCCCAAGAGCCACCACAGCATCGGGCTGAACGGCACTGAGCAAGGTGGGCCGAGGAGCACCACCAGTGTTCAGGAGAACAAGACGGGGGACGAAGTGAAAAATAGCAACCAGGTGGCCAAGGGTGAGCAGCCTCCCCAGGTACCAATATGAGAAGCCTCTGGCAACTAGATCCTCTAGCAAAACTACAGGCAGGAGGGCCCAGCAAACGCAGATTTCACCCAGAGTGTTTATCGCCAAAACAAGTACCAAAGGCATTTTAAAAACACACACTGATTGTATCGAAAACCATCAGTGGATAGTTCCATCTGCAGTAACACCTGCCAGCAGGCAGCTCCCATGTGGCGAGAGCTATAGCAGCTAAGCAGCATCAACGCTGAGACGGCCTCAGTGGTGAGAATCCTAGACTGAGGAGCTTTGTTGGTAGGAAAAGTGATAGGTCAAGGTCATCAATGCTGGCACCACCTGTGTCAAAACTGCCAGTGGCAATAAAATCAGTATGTGAGCCTCAGCAATAAGCTACCAAAACAAGATCCATCAAGGACAAAACCATCTGGAGTGAACACCACCCTGGGGGGACCACAGACTCATCAGCGGTGGCAGGTGTTTCTGTATCAGTGGCAAAATGCCAACCATATTGACAACTATCGCAAGTCAGAAACTTCCATGATGAAACCATCCTAAACAATGACCACCATCTACAACCAACACCAACCATAACAAACTCAGGAGAATCAAGCACCAAACTGTGGTTGGGGTTGTCCACATCGAGCACCATCTGGAGCGAGCAGCACGCGTGGGGAGCCACGTCTGCAGGGAACTCAGTCCCTGCCATACTTTGTAACATGCACTGTCCACGGTGAGCACCTGCGAGAGGGGCACAGTGCACGGGGAGCACCTCGGTGACTCCCAGCACCCCCAGGAGCACAGCCCACAATGGCTGTCCCCAAGGAAGGACCACCAGAAGAGGCCGTGCATGCCACCAGCCCACAGGGAGTAGCGCCTGGTGGGAGCATCTGTGAGGGCTGTGTCTGGGGAGCCCATCCCTGAAGAGCATCACCCAAGGGAGCTGTGTCCTTCCTTTTTGAGCACTGTTTCTGGGCAGCTTCCACCCAGAACCTTCCCAAGAACAAAAGCTTCCCGCAGCCCTGTTCATGTCTCTGTGTGGATCGGAGGAGGCAGAGAGACAATAAGGGCACAGGAGCATCCTTTGTTCAGAGGGCTGAAACAATGATCCTATGGCAGGACAATGCCATGATAAGCACTTAATGGTGACGGAGCGCACCCCAGCCAGCCACGGCTGCAACGGGGGAAGCTCTGGGCCATTCGGTGAACGTTCCTCGGTGGATGGAAGGGCCACAGTCTCTGTCCCTCCTTTTTCAGGACGATAAAGCCCCCCCCTGGACTGATCTCCCAGACTCAAGGGAGTGAGTGGGTCCGCAAAGGGGAGGAGGCCAGAGACTGCCATGAAGACATCCACTAGGTACCAGAAGGAAAGCTGAGGGGGCACCAAAGACAATAAACGGTGTCTGGAGAGGCCATCGGCGTGCAGGTCTGTGTGTGCAATCCTACCAAGGTCTCGGGGCAGGGGCTTGGGCGGGGCACAAACACATCAAGGTCTGTGAAGAGAGCAGGGGCTCCCACTGTACCGCTCCTGAGCTGGCTCTCTGGGCAAAGTACTCAACACTTCCAGAGCCTCCATGTCCTCACCTGGACAATGGGGACAATAACTCCAATTTCATACATAGGATAGTTACACAGATGTCATGAATATACAGACTAAGTACCCAGCAAGTACTAAAGAAATGTTTTTGTTTCCCTTTCCTTGCTCATCTGTGAAATGGGCACAGTGATCTCTGTCTAGTGTCACTCACAGACTCAGAAAAGATAATTACTCCCAATACAGAGAAAAAGTTAATGGCCCAAAACAAAACAGAAGGAGCCACGGCATCTGCTAGGAGGCAAGGTTTTGGCAGAGGGTGTTGATAGGTTTGGGGACAGGATGACTGGTTCTGGGTGTGAGGTCACCACGCATCTGGTCTGGTGAGTCTCTTCTCAGTATGAGCACCGCTCTGAGCACACTCCCCTGACTTTCCTCCAAGCAAACTTGCTCAGCAGGGCCTGAGCACCTGGGACCCAGAGCAGACAGAGAATGGCCTTCCACCCCTACCAAATATCTTAGTCCTTTTGGGTGGCTGTAACAAAATACCATACACTGGGGCTTACAAACAGCAGAAAAGTGTGGTTCACAGTTCTAGAGGCTGGGAAGACCAAGACCAAGGTGCCTGCGGATCAGGTGTGTGGAGGGGCCCACTTCCTCATACACAGCCATCTTTACACTGTAGCCTTGTGTGGTAGGAGGGGCACGGAGACCCTGGAGCCTTGTATGGGGTGCTAATCCCACCCATGAGGGCTCCACTCCCGAGACCTAACAACTTCCCACAGGCCCCTCCTAATCATTCTAAGGGAATAGATTTTTTTGTTTGTTTTTTGAAACATAGTCTCCCTTTGTTGCCCTCAGTAGAGTTCTGTGACATCACAGCTCACAGCAACTTCAAACTCTTGGGCTCAAGCAATTCTGTTGCCTCAGCCTCCTGAGTAGCTGGGACTACAGGCATCCCTGACAACACCTGGCTATTTTTAGAAACGGGGTGTCACTCTTGCTCTGGCTGGTCTTGAACCTATGAGCTCAGGGCAATCCACCCACCTTGGCCTCGCAGGCCCAGGGGCTGGGGGAGAATAGGTTTTAATATATGAATTTCAGTGAGGAACAAGCATTCAGTCCACCAAGTGAGCCCCTGTCTTCTGCAGGCAGGGCTCTGGGGGAAGCCTAGCCATCTGTCTGCCCTATCCCTGCCCCTTTCCCCCCATCCCCGCTTCCCTCTCAGAGGAGAAAAGAGCCCTCATAGACACAGCATGGCCAAAACTGAGTTCTCCACCATCCCTGCCCTCCCATTCCTCCCATGTCCCTGCTCAGCAGATACGGTCATCTTTCTGCAGTTGTCCAAGCCTGGACCCTGACTATCACCTTTTTGTCTCCCTCTTCTTCAGCCCTCTGTGCCATGAGTCCCCAACACCTCTCCACTGCCACAGCTGCCACCCAGCCCAGGTATTCCCCTTCCCCTGGAGCAGGGGCAGTACTTTACAAAGTGCCCAAGGAGGGTGGGGCGTAACTTCCAAACCAAGCTTGAGAAATGCTGCTGCTGCCCTACTACCCTTGACCTTGACCACCTGGAATCTACTTGCACAAACTGTGGGGTCAAAAACAGACACGCCTGCCAGGCCAGGAAGGTAATATAGTACAAGGGGCGGGGGTGAGGCTTTGGCAAAATGGAGAGCTTGTGTCTCTTCCAAGGAGAGGGCAAAAATTCAGAATTCTATGGACAATCTCTCAATTTTTAAATACTGGTCACAAATTCAGATTCCTCCAAAAAAAAATTATAAAGTAAATGGGAACACTTCTGAAGGCAGGGTCATGCCATGCCATGCTTCTGCTTCTAAACAGAGAGGAGAGCAACCTCTCTGAAACAAAAATCTGCTTATATTCCTCAATTGTTTAAAACCTTCTGACATTTTCCCGCCATCCAAAGCGTTTGACACAGCACTGAAGGCTCTTCACACACCAGTCCAAATGTGTTTTCCCTGCCTCACTCCCTGACGCTTCCTCCAACTGTCTCTAATCTGATTTACATCTCAAACCCGATTCTGAGCCTCTGTGCTTCTGTATGTGCTGTGCTTTCTGCCTGGCATAGTTTAGACACAATAAAAGGCACATTCTTATAGCATACAGCTATATGATTTTTGACAAACATCACACCATCACCATCAGAATACCACACACAGCAGAACTTCTGTAAGTCGGTCCCCAAGGGACTATAGCAGACCGGTCGACACAAGGAACTAGTGTTGATGTCCTGATACAAACGTATGGTGCATGTCTGGTCTAGGAAAATTACATCAGCTTAGGTAGGGAGTCAATGTAGGGAGGTGGTCAACTATGGAGGTTCTACTATAGTTCCATCACTCCCCAAAATCTCCTCATGCCCATTGCTAGTAATCCCTGGCCAATCTCAACAACCATGAACCAGTTTTCTGATCTAACAGTTTTCCAGAATGTCACAAACACAGAATCATACGCTCTGTAGCCTTCTGCGTCTGACTTCCTCCACTTAGCAGAAAGCATTTGAGATCACCCATGTTTCTTGTGTTGACTGCTGAGTAGTACTCCGGGGTCTATCAGTTCTCTGGCTGGAAGGCGTTCAGGTTGTTTCCAGCTTGGGAAGATTGTGACGCTGCTATGAACATTCATGTACGGGTTTGTGCATCAACGTAAGTTCTTCGTTTCATTTGGATAAATACGTAGGAGTGGGATTGTGGGGTGGGGTGGTGTGCTTAACCTTATAAGAAACTGCCATTTTTTTTTTTTTTGAGATGGGGTCTCACTCAGTTGCCCTAGGTAGAGTGCAGTGGCGTCACAACTCACAGCAACCTCAAACTCTTGGGCTTAGGGGATTCTTTTTCCTCAGCCTCCCAAGTAGCTGGGACTACAGGCACCCACCACAATGCCTGGCTATTGTTTTTAGAGACAAAGTCTCGCTCTGGCTCAGGCTGGTCTTGAACTTCTGAGCTCAGGCAATGCGCCCACCTCGGCCTCCCAGAGTGCTAAGATTACAGGTGTGACCTGGCCTGCCAAATCATTTTCTAAAGATACCAGAAAGTTGCCAGCACCTTGTATTTCTCGGTTTGGGGTTTCTGTTTTAACCATATATGAAGGTGGTTTGCATCAGTCTCTCCATTTTACATGTGGGGAAACTGAGACATGCAGTAGCTAACTCTGTGTAAGTAAATGACGGGGCTGGGATTTGAACCCAGGCAGCCTCATCCTAGCATAGCCAGGCACCAGTCACCCGGCCATACCTCTCCACAGAGCCCCTGTCAGCTGTCTCTTGTCTCAGGCCTCTGAGCAGCAGGCCACCTAGTGCCTGACAGTGTATGTGGAGCCACTCCCCAGCCCTCTCTGCGTCCTCCATGCCCATTTCTGTGTCAGCAACATTAGTGATGACCAAATGAATGAACGAGAGAGCACATATGTGAATGACCACATCAGAAGAAAGCTGAGTCCCCCCACACCTGCTCTCCAGTGGCTATAGCACATGGTCCCCAAACAAAGTCAGCTCGGGATCCAAAGTTTAAATAATGCTCCCTGTGCTTGCCTGCAAGTCCCAGGACTGCCCCATCCTTCCCTCACTGTGTGCCCAGCAGACGCTTCTCAGCCTGGCCATCGCCCACCCCAACTCCGAGCACCCAGCAAGCACCTGAAGTGAGGACCATTTTTCAAGCCAGCACAGTGATTTTTTCTTTCCTGCCCACTAGCTCGCTGCTCAGGGTGGCAGCAGGGTTGGAATGATGGGTTGGCTGCAGGCACTGAGTCCTGAATTATTAACTGGGCTGGGGAGAGAGTTGCTTACAAATGCTGTCCATCCAGGAGACTGTAGCAGCCCATGGACTTCAAACAGGCCTGGAGCAGGGAGGCAGAAAAAAGGGATTTGGCCAGTGGACCTTGAGGATTCACGTTTAATGAATTGGAGGCCTCTCTTCCCAAGTGCTCCCTTCTCCATCCTCCACTTGGGAAGGAGCTTATCCTTCCCACTTCCTTAACACTGTCATGCCTGCTTCCATTTTCTTCAAGCTCCTGGCACCGCCTCTTCTTCCCACTTTAAATCCTGTGAGTGAAATAGAGTGTCTGCTAATTACGGCTCTCTCTGAGCCAGGAGCTTACCAATTCTCACTAAGTGGTTCATCATGGGCAGGAAGATGGGAGGAAGCAGAACCTGAGATGGGGATTCCTTTAGAGTGATTGGGGAATGTCCCCAGCAGAAGCAGAGTAAGGCAAGCAGCATAGAGAAGGGACAGGGTTAAACAGTGTTGTGGTCTGAGAGGGATGCTGACCTCGGTCTGATCCCACAGGGAGCTCTGGGGTGTGACCTGTACCACAGATTCTACCTTGGGTTGGGGGAACATAACCTGCCAGGTGAAATGGATCCCATACAGCCAAGAGCAATTCTCCAGACAAGGGGCAGCTGTGAGCCACTAGCAGCAACCCTGGGCAGCAGTCCAAGGTGATGTGGTAGCTCCACGAAGTGATCAGGAACCCAGCTCCTTCCAGAAATCCATTCCACATCCTGAGGATGAGGCCACATCCTCATGGTACAAGATAGCTGGGTAAGCTCCATCTAACACATCTGCTTTCCAGCCAAGCATGAGGAAGAAGAGGAGAAGAGGGTCTTGACTCTCCTTTTTAGGGAGATTTCCTTAATGTGTCACACAACACAGCTACCCCTAGCTACAAGGGAGGTAAGGCAATTTGGTCTCTTCTAGGAAACAAAGAGTAGAAATAAAAATGATCATTCTGTTACTAACGATGGGGGAAAGGATGGATACTGAGATGGGCAATTATGGGATCTGCTGCCATACTACTTCAAT